ATATATATATATAAATCACAGAGCTTTCAGGGTAGGTAGATGTTTAGATTCCTAGGTAAAGTACTTTCAAGTTAGCATTCATCCATGTAAAGGGAGCTACAAGAAAAGGAAGAACATGAGGTTTCAAAGGAGGTACACCGTACACACCATAAACAATGATAAACTATTTAAAGTAACTGTTAAATAGTTGTGTAAATAAGTATAATCCACATGAAATAAGAGTAGAGTATGTATTGTGTATAGTTATAAATAGGGCTCATTGTATTATAGTTAAAACATCAATCAATAATATAATTTTCTTATTACCAGGAAGGATAAGATTAAGAATGAAGTTATTAGGGACAAGGTGGGCATGGCTCCCGTGGAAGACAAGTTGCGGGAATCGAGGTTGAGATGGTTTGGGTATATGAAGAGGAGAGACATTGATGCCCCGGTTAGGAGGTGTGAGAGGTTGACCATGACAGGTTAGAGGAGCGGTAGAGGGAGGTCTAAGAAGTATTGGGGAGAGGTGATTAGGCAGTACATGGCATTACTTCAGCTTATCGAGGACATGACCCTCGATAAGAAGGTGTGGAGGTCGAAAATTAGGGTTGTGGGTTGACATGTAGTCGACAGTTTCCCCTAATCTTACCAGTAGTATTAGTACTAGTCTTATATTTTCCTATTCCTAGTTCCTTGTTATTACACGGTGTGTCATTCTTACCAGTAGTATTGGCACAATTCTTGTATTTTCGTATTCCTAGATCTTTGTTATTACATGATGTGTCATCTGCTTCCGTTGTCCTATTACCTTGTTGGTGCTATTGTTTGTTTATTGCTTCAGGGTATATCAGAAACAGCCTCTCTACTTTCATAGGATAGGGGATTTCACTGGGTTTGTTGTTGTTGTATTTCGCACAGTAACGAAGTATACTAGAATAGGCATATTATCCAGCATATAAGCTACTGACCATGCAAGACATCCTAAAAGCAGTAGCACTTCCTTCATAATCCTTCAGTTCATATTTGACTTCTCCAAGCAAGCGGTAGACATCAGGGTCACTCGGTTTCTTCTGCATTTGCAAACAGGTTATTTCGTGATATCCATATGGACTCGAAAAATCTCTTCATAAACAAAATAATACATCAGCCAAAAGAAAACCTTAATCAAATCCTCAAGAAGGGAAGAGGCTCGATTGTACTCCCCCAGTTGTGCTAAGGTCACAGCAGCTCCCTGCAAACCATTTAAAGAAACTTACACAGTTGTTCGTTCTCAAAAAAAGAATCTTACACAGTTGCAGAGTGAAATTTTAGAAAGAGGTCGTTTGGACTGATGACATCAAAAGAGAATTTGTCAAGCAAGAATTCTTACATAACATTATAAAGGAAAATCCTTATAATTGACAGGGCACAATGAGCATTTCTATCTTTCATCTCCTAAGAAACACAAAAGAGCAATTTTTTTTCTGAGGACTTTCTATCCAAAGCAATACCCACAACTTTTACAATTATCAGCCTTGTAGTCTGAAATTCACTGTTACTACCTCCATCAGCNCTTATAAGGGATTCCTATATTGTGAACCTCAAGCGCTGGCACTCAATTATGAATGCACCTTTTCAGCAAACAATTGTTGAGGCCTTAATAAATCATGACCCAATCCACTTGATTGTTGTTGGAATATAGGAAAGAGGAGAGTGAGACATTAAACCCATGTTTTTCCGGAATAAGAACCTGTAGAAATTTGATACCTCCTTTCACCTAAATATCACCCAAATGTCATCATTTTTGGTAAGGGTGACTGGGACAAGACATCAGTGTGGATTGAAACTATGATGCACAGGGATGTTGAGGACAAGGGGCATCATAAGGTTTCATGCTAGGCGAGGAATTAGACGGTTAGGGCCAGTATAGTAGTTGCACACCAGCAAAAAGTCATCAAAATTATAATATGAATATCAACTAACCCTGGGACTTTAGTGTTGCCGAACTGGGAAATTGTCTGCTCGATTCAAGCTGAATGACTCATTATAAAAGAAATGGGTTGATGTCCATCAACTAACATGGCAAAAACAATTGGAGGCAAAGAACCACATAGTCTAAGGGTTCCAAAGTCTCTAGTAAAAGCTAAGAGACTTGCTTTTCATATCGTAACTCCCACAAAGTTAATAGAGCAGCGGAAACGATGGGTGAGCAATGTTTAACTTGCAAAACGGTTTCACCTCCATAAGCAATAAGTTAACGTCTCCACCCAGAGCACAAGTATATGCCACTCAAGGAGTCTAAACTAAGAAGGTATGCTATATCTTGATGAGTGAAATGAGAAATTCTGAAACTGTAAGCATAGGATTACAAACAAAAACATCTTAAATTACATCATATACGATAACTCACTTCAAGGGAGATTGAATCCTCTGGTGAGGAAGCCAGTGTTGCCTCAATTTGCTGAAGCGTCTTCTGCAAAAGCATTAAATCTGATGATATTTCAACAATATATAGGGAAATAGATAAGGAAAATATCATCTAAATAACAGAGCACACATATAGGCGTCCATGAAATTATATAAAATTGAGTGAATTTAACATATTACTAACAGTTTTTTTTCCTAAAGAGCTTCTATATGTAGAAATTGCTAGAATAGCACATTTTTATATCCTAAAAATTCATTTAACTCCATTTGGACCTGTTTCGTACTTTCATCCAATACTTAGTATTCAAGAAAAACGCACACAACAGAGAAAACAAAAAACAGTGTATTGAAGAATGTGCATATAGAGACAAGTTGGGCCTACTGACTAGCAATGAATACTACAGACGAAAGCCCATTAGATAAAGAGATGACAGGGATTGGCAATAGGTGCCTTCACCGATATTGCCTATTCTTTCTGCAGCAATTTTCAACTGAACTCAAAAGTATGTCTTTCCTTTCTTATAGTTGCACACTAGAAAAAAACTAATTTCAATGTGACAGCAAACATTTTACCAGGAGGTTAGCTCTCTCATCTTCAGCAATTCTCTTATCAGTGCTGGAAATCTCCTCAGTGGGACTAACACTGCACCAATGGCTTCATTAGGATTACGTTAAGAAAAAAACTGAAAAGAAATAAGCAACAAGCAAATCATGAAACTTTGTAACCTCTGGATTGAGTAGAAAAGAAAACCAGGATGCAAATGATGAGATCTATTTGATAACTAATAGCCAGCATAGTTGGAAGCACCACAATCTACCTTCCAGAAGGAAGAAAGTCACCAAGTGCAAATACGAGTCCAAATACAATAACAGCTGCTCCAACTCCAATCTATTAAATTCCGCATGAATCTATTAGTGGCCATATGAAGAAAGAACTCAGATTGGATCAACACGGAGATGTGTCAGCTCCATTATAGCACTACCTTGGTACCCAGTCCAATTGTAGTACTTTCGGACTCGATCGGAGCATCATAGTCAATTGCTCCGTATGCTTTCTCTTCCTCTGCTTTTTTCTGCTTTAGTGCCAACCTACCAGTTAGTGGAAATGTCAGTCAATGAAACACATTTTAATCAATGAAGAAGAAAAGAGAAAAAAGGATAATGTCATCAACAAATTAGTGACATAGTCCACAAAAAGGAATTAGACATCAATATTTGACACAGCATAGATTTAGCATAGCCAACAATGTAGAAGCAGCTTACTTTATAAGAACAAAGAATATCCCAAAGTAGCCTAGAACATAAACGCAGAAGTTGAAATCGCACATCAATTAGCCCTGGAATCTGAGGTCTAAATACTTGATCGCGGCACTTGTAACAAGTGATCATTCAGTCAGTCTCTTGCTTGGAATGCAAAGCGGTGGTGATGCCTCCAGTAAGCATGGTCAAGTAGTTCGGAAATTATTTTTGTACTAGGTCATTGTACAAATGATTGCCACTACCAGTACCAGGTGATTAATTGGTCAACACTGCTAAAAGAATCTCTCCTAGTCTATGATTACTTCCTCCTTTTTGGGGGGTGGGTGGAGGGTAGGTGCACAGAGACTCTCTATTTGAATCTCATTTGTGACTATCCATACAAGATGATAAAATGAAGAATAGGTACGAGGGCTACTGGCATGTCTGTGACATCAATGAGTACACCACGTTCAGCGATGAAACATCATCTCTTTTAGCAGCTTTCGTGCATCATCAAATTTTGGACTCCAATACAATATGAGCGGAAAACTGGCTTGATAAGAAAATTTAGAATGGCAAGTTACTGCATTCATACATCTAAAATTCTTATAAGGAAGATAGCTACTGCAGATAAGCAGTGGGGTAGAAACCATTCTAAATAGTAGTAGCACCTTTTTACTGCTTGCAACCGTTCCTCAAACTGAGGATCTGATGCCACACTTTTTGCCTTTCCGACATCATTCATAGAGCTCAAACGAGGTGCTTCTGCACGAAAATGAGCCTCATATGATATATGCAACAAGATCTGTTACTCAGACCTCACTTTAAACAAGAGATAACAAAAGAAATCTTTAAGAGACCACTTAGTATGATAACAGAAAAACATGATCACACATTTTGGATTGGAAATAAGCTTCAGAAGAACATCATACATTTTGGATTGGAAATAAGCTTCCAAAAGCATAACAGTTTTAGCCAGAAGTATCAAATTTATACTCCGGAAGAATGTGCCAAGAGGCAATTAAAAGATACACTATCATTTTCAAATAATTTTGACAAGTGGAAGGATGATGAAGGAATCAAAAGATAAGTTCGAAAGGGGAAACCACAAAAAGGAATGTTAGAGTTGCTAATCCAACTGGCAAGAGAAACATCAGAATAATTGATTGCAGAGTTTATTAACTGTTCAGTATGAGAAAAAATTGGATCCAGCGCTAAACAGTAATCTATTAACATATCCCAGGTAGGGCCAAAGGGTATCGATTCAACCAAGTGTCGGAAACACATCCAGCTGTTGTGAACCCGAGCAATACATCACAATTTAAACCCAAATGATTGTTATTCTTTATATTGTCAGTATTGCAGAACAAAAAAAAATTTAGGTTTAAAAGTTTTCAATGTATAATATTCGTTTAATGCTAATAATCTGATGCATCCTATAATTTATACATCTAATTAAACAAAAGTTTTCCATTTCTCTAAATTATTAATCGGTAACCATAGGTACAAACAAAAAAGATACGCAACTACACACTGCAGAACATGCAAGGTAGGGCTGTTTACTAACGATTAAGGAGGTCATCGGACTGTGGAGTGGATGAATTCCTGCAAGAGTAAACAATAGCTTTAGATAATAATTGCAATAAGCTGACTTACAATAGTCTCTCTCTCTCTCTCTCTCTCTCTCT